CGTCGCCGAGGCCCTGAGCTCGGCCTAGCGGGCGGCAGCTGCCGGCGGGGCGACGGCGGCAGCAGCCTCACCGAAGCGGCCGTCGACGGCGGCCTGGGCGACCGACTGGATTTGCCGACGACGCGGGGTTTGGCGCCACCGTTTGCTTCCGCGCGCTGGATGATGCGCATGAGGTTTCCGTGGAGGCCTTCGGAGTGGAATGCCTGGCGTTTGGCCTCGCGGCGTCTGGCCTTGGCACTCTGATGCTTGGCGACGGTGGTGGACGGTGGTTCCTGGGCTGGAACTTGGAGAGCAGCTCCTGGAGGCCCGCAAGCAACGCTGTCTCTTCGGCCTCGCGCTGACACGTCTGCTGGGCGCCCCCGCCGCCGCCTCGCAGCAGGGGCCCAAAGCCCCCCGCAGCTGGAGCGCGAGGCGGCTCGGTTGCCTTCGCGGTTGCACCGGCCACTCGCCAGCGCCATGGGCGGCAGCGGGCACGAAGACAGAGACGGAAGCATAGCTTCGAGAACGCGTTGAACAGTTCCCGAGCGACAGCGATGAACACGCAAGACATGATGGCCCCATGATGGCCCCATGAAGACATTTGGCGCGTAGGTGCGACGAATCCAAGGGGCTGTGAAACCCAGCATCTCGGGGGTTTGAGCCTCGATGCAGAAAGAGCGCGCGCGCCCGCCAGGATACAGGCCCGAGATTGGCAAACAGCACACCCCAAAATATACATATCATGCCCATGTTCGAACTCCTCATCGACACAGAGCGAAACATCGCAAAATCTCAAACTTCCAGCTGGCCACCGCGCGCAAGCTGACCAGCGCCCCCTGCCCCACGCCGTTGGCGCTCGGGAGCAACGAGAAGCAGCGCAGGATGAAGAACCAGCTGAGGCTCCAACCGGCCGAGCGCATCGCGGCACTATCTCGTCGCCCGGAGGGCGCCCCGGCCGCGCGTGCCCATGAAAAGACGGACGCGAGTGCCAGCAGCGAGATGACGAGGCATGTTGTTAGATTGATTGAGCCATGTTGGCCTATCTTGAGCGATCTTGGAGGCCATCTCGGCCCTCTTGGAGCCATCTCAGGCCATCTTGGACGCCCTGACACCTCGCGGACCCCCCGCCCAGGCCCAGGGGGGCGGGCAGGGGGAGGGGCAAACCCTTCCCCGAAGGGGGCGGAGGGGTTGTGGAAGAGCAAAGAAGACATCGTTAGACCACCTGTCGCCCAGAGGGCTGGCCGGATTTGGCCACGCATGACGCGGCCAGCGCGCGCGAGCGTGGGGTGCGCACGTGGCCGGATGTCTGTCCGACGCTCGGTCGTTTTCTATCGCGGGTAACCAAGTCCTCTGCGTTTGCATGTCCCGCGCGCGGCCCCCCGGCCTTCCCACGCGCGGGGCCAGCCACGCGCGCCCCCCCGCCTCCTGGCAGCGCGCGGACTGCGACAGCGGAGGGGGGCGCGGCGGGGTTCGCTGTCACACCATGCTGAGTCCGCAGTCCACACAGAGGCGTATGCTTTAGAGTGGGCGCTGCAGCATCTCACCAGCATCGCTTCACCCTAGCAAGATCGGCGCAGCGGGGCGGGCCACGGCCAATGCCCGACACGAAAGAAAGAAAGGGGAGGGGAGCGGCAGCAGGAGACGTCGACGGGCACTGCCAGCGGGAGAGACAAGGCAATCCAGCTCCGTATCCTCCTCGGCTTCGTCGGCGAGAGGTCGGAAGACGGGATGGCGACGGAGGGGGTGTCGAGAAGGGCGAGGGCGAGGCGCCCGAGGCGCAGGAGCAGGAGGCACAGGGCACGGAGCCATTGAGAAGTCGTTCGGGTCACGAGCCCCGGCCAGGAAGAAAAGCGTGGAGTGGTTGCGGAGGGGCGCGGTCGTCGCTGCTCAGAGGGGCCGCCGCCTGGCGCGCCGCGGGCCCGCATGCCCTCGGCCACGAAGGCGCTAATATTCAATCGGGCCTGTCCCTCTACAAGAGGAATATTCAAGCATAGTCCAAAATAATACCAGGGCGATTTGTTGACTAGTCTTGCATACGTTTGGAACATGCTTGGAAGATTTGTTTCGTCTAAAATCCACTTGTAGGGGACATGCCCGACCTCGCGCCAATGCCGACGGGCGCCGGCACTCTCGCGCGAGCCACGCCATGAACCTGGCCCGCCAGGGCGCCCTCCAGCGCCGCGAGGAAGCCCGTGGAGAGTCATAATGCCCCAACTTACTTTGGCCATGATCACGAGAAACAATTGCGAGCACCAGAAACGCACCGAAACTCGAGTGTTCTCACCTGTCGGGCCCTGGGAGACATTCGTCCGACACTGTCTCGACACTTTTCCGAGCGTTCGAATTAATTTTCGAGACGTGGTCCTGTAGCACGACGGGAGCAACATATGTAGAGAGGAAGAGCAGGCCCTTCCGGAGCGGGCGCCCCTACTGGGGCACGGGTGGAATTGCCGCAGGAACCCACGGACTGCTTCAGAACGTGGAGCTCCACGCAGGACGGCGAGAAGCTCGCCGGCGCCCG